ATTGGTGGGTCGGGTTGAGACTCGGGGATAACAGGAAACCTGCTGACTCGAACCTAAACCGAACCCGAAAAATTCGGGTTCGCAGGTTGGCGGGTCGACCCGAAATTACCCTAAACTTAATTTTAATTTATTAATTTACCACAGTAATTTTTAATAAAATCAATTTCGCACAAGACTAATTACATAATCAAGTAATAAAATTTAAATAAATAATCCCAAACCAAGTCTAAAATAAATTAAAATACCGTAAAAGTGTTTGATCCCAAACCAAATATAAAATAAATTAAAACAGTATAAAAGTAAAAAATAATATAATACATTATTTGTCCAAAGATAATAATTTCAACTTCACACAAGTTAAATAAATTCATTTAAGATTAAGTGATTAATGCCTTTGGAAAAAAAGAATAACTTAGTTTAGTTAGATAAAATAATTTTTATGTTTATTAAATTATTTTTAATTTGGAAACGGGTTATCGGGTCACCCATGGGTTAACCCGAATTCGACCTGTTTTCTTTTCGGGTTCATCGTGTTCAACCCAATTCTGACCCGAACCTACGAAACCTCAACTCAAATCCATTTATTTTGTATTAGGTTCGTGTCGTATTTTCAGGTCGTGTCGAAAATTGCCACCCCTAGGTTTGAGTTTATAGAATCTTTCCCTTCTCTTTTTTTAATCGTAACTCTCGAATTCATTTTCTCTTGTTTTCAAAGACCTAGAGTTATCGAAAAGAGTTTTATTTTATTTTGTTACAAATATTTTTGGGTAATTTGGTACATCCAAACTCAATACCGAGTGTCGACTCCTGTTTTTTTTTTTTAAAAACCCTTTTAGACTAAATTTTGGACCCAAATTATCGTATTTTTTAAAGTCCCATTCTAGGTCTTTTTTCACTTATTTTTAAATAAAATCACATCTTTTGTAAATACGATTTTAAATACGTTTTTTTTCATCACGAAAAATGGGGCGCGACATGATTTATATACAAACATAAATAGTTACATGATCCAATAAAGGAGTAATTGCTGCCTATTGAGTATAGTGTCACTCAATTCACTATTTTACAAACCTTGAGGATGAGGTGGTCTACATTGACGACCCAGAAGATGACTTCTACTAGTTATGCATAGTTATAGGAAATAGAATCTAATGTTAGGATTTAGTGTTTAACGTAGTATTGAGCATCTTGACTAAAATACCATACAAAAGATGCCTGGAATTTGAAAGTAGACATACATAGCACTATTCAACTTAGCAAAAGTATTAAACTATGTTTTCAGACTCGGACCGGACATCGATTCGGTCGAACTCAGGGATCAATGGGTTCGACCGGGTTCGATCAGGGTTGAACCGGATGACGTCATAAATAAAAATTATTTAAAATTTAAAATATTGTAGGTAAAAAATACTTAAGAACATGTTAATATTAATAAATATATATTCATATATATTTAATATTTCAAATATATTTAACAAGAAAATACAAAGAAATTAGAATGATCAAGTAGCAATTTATATTATTCAATGAACATTAACAAGTTTAGAATTAAAATTATAGATTTGATTAAAAAATAACACCAAACTTTAAAATAATATTTATAAAATATGAAATATTTGAGATAAATTAATAATTTTTAACAACCTAGGGGCCAAAACATAATATTGAAAATACTTTGACCTTTCAAAAAAAATTTGGGCAGCAGGATTGAGGCTGAAGTCTCGGCTGCGCATGCCATGTCGGTGTATGGTTCAATTAAGAATGCTGTCATTATATCTTTCCATTGGGCCCACCAGAATTCCCACAGCTAGTACTTGCAAGCAAGCCTTGATTGAAATGCGAAATTTCCTCTTAGTGGACTGAAAGCTTTGATATCACCCCCGGTTCATCCGGTTTGCCGGTCAAACCTGGTCAAATCTGATTTTTGATCAGGTTTGACCGAGTTTTATACATCCGATTTTTTAGAATAACTCGGAACGGACACTTGGCCGATTTCCGGTTCAATCCAATCGGACCGGCCGGTCCGGTCCGAGTTTGAAAACACAGGTATTAAAGTTACTTGTTCCGCTGTTTGACTTGCCATTGACTGTATTATCATCAACACATATGTACTAAATGCGTAGAGGTGTGCCAAGAGAGATCCTTTTTTTTGTGATGTGGCAAAATATTATTGGACCATTTGTGGTCGTCCTTGTACGTGAGGATTGTCCTTGTTTGTGCAAACAAAAATTCCGAGTGGAAATGTTATTACTTTATTATTCAAATGAATGCTGCATGCCTTCACTTTCCTTGCACCCGATTGGACCCCTTTAGCAGCATGTCTGTTCGGCTTTTCCCATATGTGTTGGGACTTGATTGTCATCATTCTAATAACTAAGCTTAGTTGACTATAAGGACAGTTATATTACAATTTTGCCACATCACAAAAAAAAGCAACTCTCTTGTGCAAACAAAAATTCCGAATGGAAATGTTATATCACAATTGTGCAAACAAAAATTCTGAATGGAAATGTTATTACTCTATTTTTCAAATGAATGCTGCATGCCTTCACTTTCCTTGCACCCGATTGGACCCCTTTAGCAGCATTTCTGTTTCGGCTTTTCCCATATGTGTTGGGACTTGATTGTCATCATTGTGATAACTGAGCTTAGTTGACTATAAGGACAGTTATATTACAATTTTACCCTTCCATTATAATTTTCTTACCGGCCATAATAAATTCATTTTGCTCTTACCATTTCCTTCTTCTTCTTCATGTTCATGTCAGGAGGTCAATTTCTATTTACCTTTGGGTTGTATTTGTAAAAAATCATAATTCTAATTACTGTTGATGGCTATCGGAAGAAGGACTGTACCAGTTTCTTTGTTCTGTCCAACCCACCGCTGTTTCTTTGCTCTGTCCAACCCACTGCTGCAGATAGAGCTATGCATTGTTGCCGGCATTTTCTTCTTGTGCTAATGGTTAGTGATGTCTTTAATTTTTGCATTTCTTTTTTGTATCATTGTTTATAGCACAACATCCTATCTTCTCTTTTACATGATTGTCTTTGGGAGTTGCTTTGTTCGATTCTCATTTTCTTTTTTATTGCTCTGTTCCTTCGAAGCTGCTTCTTCATTTTGCTCTCTTTCATAAAGATTGGTCAGATGAGCTAGCTGCCAACCGACGTTTTATCCATCAGAATAGACAGAACAAAGTGAACATTTTTTTGCCCTTTGTATTTCTTTCTTGTGCAATTTTGTAGATTTGATAGGAACCTGAGCCACCTAGGTTCTTTTTTTCCCTGGGTTTATTCAAATAATGGTGATTGGTAGTTCAGAGATGGAGTATATGGATTTAACATATGGTCTTTGGATTATTCAGTTTTAGAAACTGATTTGGAAATTCCTTCTTTTACCTGAATTTTTCATTGCAAAGTACAACTTTGGAGCTAATAGAACCAGGAAAAAAGATGGAATAGCGTAAGATAAGAACTTGAGGAGAGGGAGGGTATTGCAATATAGCAAGCTATATCTCTTGCTAGACTATATAGAGAACCCAAATGATGGTCCTGATGCAGTCCTCAGAGGTATTTTTATCACTAGAAAGCAGTTTTATGTGTGTCGTTTGCTGATGGGCTTCGCAGTTCCCCTAACATGTATATCTTGCTTTTGTTTTGGAATCACAATATGCAGTAGGGAAATGACAGGAAGTATCAAACGAAATTTGTTCACAAGTGATTCTTGATATCTTGTGATCTATCATAATGGCTGGAAGTTACTTTTGTAGTTTTAGTTTACTTTTTTGTTCTTGATATGGAGTATTCTGGCTTCAAATAGTGGTGTTTTGCACGGCATTCATTAGGTGTATGTCTTCTCCTATTTGGATAAGTTGTTATGCCAATGCCTTTTATTTGCCTTTCACCTTTTCCAGTTTGATTTTTTTGGCTGTTCGATAAATATTAGAACATGGGGTAGTATTAACTCGATAGACCAAGTTTTCTGATAGCAATTCCCTTGGTTACAACTTTTTATGTTGTCTCTAATTAAATCACCAGGGACCTGTGTTGCCACGACTCCTTGCTCTTTCTCTGGCCTTACTGTTTTATTGTCTTCCTTAGTGTATTCTACCTCAGTATCTCTTCTACAAGTTAAGGTTATCTATTGCAAGCTCTGACTTACTAGATAGTGTTTGATTCACCAGTAGAATAAACTCTTTGAAGGGTAACTAGGTAAATAACAGTCAACAAGTAATTTCTGTAATAGTTCCATGGCCATGATGAAGCTGTTTGATGCTAATTGTCACCTACAAGAAATTTCTTGTGTTCTTTGATTCTTACTTCTACCTTTCAATTGTCCATTATTTATTCTTATTTGTGTTTTGCATTTTTCTCTTATTTCCTCTTTACATTTTGCGTGCAGTTTTCTTCGTCCGTGGTTGCTGTAAAGAACTTTCTTTCTTCTTCATCTTCTGTTATATATCTGGAGCTTGAATTGTTTCAGGTTAGCCGATCTTTCTCTCTTTTTTTTTTATAGATTTTTATTCTACCAGTTTTTTATTTCTTCGATATTTTCTATTAAATACTCTGTAACTTATTTTTTTTAAAAATTTTGCTGTAAGTTACATGTTTGTTCTTTTTTCCCCCTGTTTAGTTTTTGTTCTGGCAGTTTTTGTTTATTCTTAAAGTCTTGCAAAAGGATATGAGTCTGTCCAATAATTGTTTGACAGATCTTTCGTATTTTGATGCCATTTATTGATTAGTTTTCATTTACTCCTTTATTTTCCTGTTGTATTCAATAGATATTAATCTTTACATCTGTTTCTACTGTATATCTATTTCTCTCCTGGTTCTGTTAGTTGAATTTTATTGTTCGTTGTTGTGTTGGTTTTAGATACTACTTTTCTCTCTTTTGTCTCCTTTTTCTTTTGTCTGTGCTTTTGTAAATTATTTTCTGTTCCTTGTTCTTTGGTTAATTAAGTTAGATGGATAGAAATGCAATACGCCGAAAATGATATGCAGAAATGCCCCAAAACGAGAAGGCTGCGCTTTTACGCCGCCGAAGTGAAGCTAGGGCTGCAAAGAAAAGAAAAGAATCATCGCGTTCTTTTGTTCGTAGTGTTCCACTCGGTTATGTTGAAATAGGTGTATTCTTCCCTAATTCTTCTTCACGTGGAGACAGTAACATTCAGGATAGTCGGAACAACGATGTTACACTGAATGAAATGTTACAACATAGGTCGATTGGTTTTGCTAATGATCAGGATGTTCTGATTAAAGAGGGATTGGACTTCATGGCCAGTAGTGGAGCTGCTGTCACTAATGTTTCTGGTCCTACTCCTCCTTCTGTTGTTCCCATTGAATCAAATCCACTTTTTATTATTCCTGAAGGTATATCCAGCCTAATTTTTCCCTACAGATCAGCCATGTCTTTGTCACTCTATTGTTATACCAGTATCTTGCCTTATTTTTAGTTAGGCATCCTATCCTGCTACAAATCTAGCCTTTAATTTATATACATTACAGAAACTTCACTTATTGGTGAGCTAGGGAGTGGAAGAGGTAGGAAAAAAACTGGTATGATTATGCAAAGACAAGAACAATGTGGATCTTCTCATGATTATCATGCAACACAGTCTTCTAGGAAAAGGTACATGAATACCGTATTGACAAAATCATCTCTTATCTCAAAAAACACTGTTATCCTTTCTGCTAAGAATAAGCCAAAATTTGATCTTCAAACATGTATCAGCTCTGAATCTTTAAGTTATTCGTCGGTAAACTCTATTCCTTCTTCTACTACATTGGATCCTCAGCTAAGAAATATTACTAACAAGTAAAAAGAAGCATGCTTTCCAATTTCTAATCTTTGGTCTACTGTTTAATCTTCTAGGCAGCAACGCAAGAACACCTCATCAAAAACTTTGACTTGGGGTCCTCAAAACAGTACAGTTCTGCCTAATGAGATTAACCAGAGGTTTAATATTCAGAATCAGAATTCAGATAATACTTTTCATCATATGAATGAGCCAAATTCAGAAATCAATAATGTTATCAGCTACAAATCTTTGGATCACTTTTCAACAGACCTTGCATCTTCTTCTACTCAAGTTGATTCTGAACCTAGATGTCTCTCTAAAAAGGTATAATATTGGTTCTTTAAATTATTATCTTTGCCAATAACTTTTGCTATTTCTTTGGTTTCTTCTAATTACAGAAGAAAAAAAAAGAAAATGTACTATCCACCATATCTGTAATATATCTATACCAAGATATTCTGCAATGGAGATCTTATTAAGATTTGCTATTGTAGTTATCCAGCCTTGCAAGAAAATTTAGCTTTGCAACATCAAGCAAAGGCTGATGTTGCCAACAGAAGAAAAAGACATAGAAATCGTTGTAATCTTACCGGTACTATTACTCCTTCCAGGCCAAAAAGTAGCCATCCTGTTCTTTACAAAGCCCGCGTACCAGGTTGCATTTCGTTTATTAGTGACCCTAATACTGTCTAAGTTATTTTTATACTATTTTCTCCGTCTTGCAAAACTAGACTTTGTTATTCTATCAACTATATTGATCCATCTACAGGGGCAAATGGTAGTGGTGCTAGGACATATCTTTCAAGAATTGATCATATTCCTGATGCACCTTTACTTCTTCCTAATGCTCCTGACTGTCAATATTGTGGGGCTAAGAGGTTTTATTTAGAACCTCCTACTTTTTGTTGTTCCAAAGGGGAAATCTCTATTGTCGCTCATCGCATGCCTTATGCTCTCAAACGTCTTTTCACAGGAAATGATGAAGAGAGTGAGCATTTTAGAAAATTAGCTCGTACCTATAATAACAACTTGGCTTTTACAGCATTTGCTGCAAAATAGGATTTCGAATTAACAAAGAATACGAAGGGTGTTTATACTTTTCGTGTTCAAGGCCAAGTTTACCATTTTCTCAATAGCTTATCATAATCAGGTGATAGGTCTTCTGGAATTCAGCTATATTTTTTTGATACTGATGAGGAGCTCAAAAGAAGAGTAGCTAGCTGTGACAAGTTGCGTGAGAGCACTTTAAGGTTGTTGATGGATATTCTTTCTGAGAATCCTTATGCTAGATTTTTCAAAGATCTCAGAGATGTGCCAAATATTAACAACTTCAACATTGCTCTTAGTTGCTACCCAACTCTAGACCAGCGTGTATATAATCTCCCTTATACTTCTCAAGTTGCTGCAATATGGACTGAAAGTGATGACGAGTCTCTTGATAAACAAGCACATATTCTGGTCTACACTCAAATACAAGTCATAGGATTCAGCACTACTACGGTTGTTATGACCCTTTACAATATCCTTTATTATTTCCTCGGGGTGAATCTGGATGGCACCATGGAATTAAACGAGTCTATAAGAGAGAGAGAAGTGATGCTTTATGTGAGGATGAAATTAATATTGATCCATTTGCTGTTGAACACTCCTCTGATTTGATTGATCTGGAAAGAAGAGGCAAGTGCCCATCCTGCCTTCTCAAATTTCTGAATATTATTTAAAATAAATACATTTCTTCATTCATATATTGTTTCTTTTCTTTTTATAGCTGCTGACCATGGCAAGAAAGAGGAATATACTGTCTCGACTAGAGAATATTATTGTTATAGATTTCAAATAAGAGATAACGATGAATCCATGTTGCTGCACACACTCAGATTATTACAGCAATTTTCTGTTGATGGCTATGTAAAGATTGAAACTTCTAGGTTGGATTTTCAACGAAAAAGACAGAATGATATTCGGACTGAAATTCTTGAGGGAGTGATGGATAGTCTTTCAGTAGGCCAGACTGCAGGTTCAAAGGTTGGTCGTAAAGTGATATTACCAGCTTCATTCATAGGCGGACCACGAGATATGAGGCTTCGATATCTTGATGCCATGGCCTTGGTTCAAAAGTATGGAAAACCTGATATTTTTCTTACAATGACATGCAATTCAATGTGGAAAGAAATTCAAGACAACCTGCAATTTACAGAAAAACCTCAAGATAGACCAGATCTTTTATCTAGAGTTTTCAGAGCAAAATTTGAAATGCTTAAATCTGAACTTTTAGATAAGAAAATCTTTGGAGAAGTAGCTGCATGTGTTTATGTTATTGAATTCCAAAAAAGAGGATTTCCTCATGCTCATTTATTATTAATTTTGAAACCACAGTTCAAGTTGTTGAATCCTCAGTCTTATGATAGGATAGTATCTGCTGAGCCCCCTAATCCTCATCTATACTCTCTTGTTCATAAACACATGATTCATGGTCCATGCGGAGTTATGGATCAAACTAGCCCATGTATGAGGAATGGTTCATGCAAGAATCATTATTCAAAAAATTTCTGCGAACAAACGGTCCATGCTGAAGACAGTTATCCATGTTATAGGAGGAGAGATGATGGTAAAAAGATAAAGGTGCGTAGATATTAGCTTGACAATAGATGGGTTATTCCATATTGTCCTTATCTATTGGCCCTTTTTGATTGCCACATGAATGTAGAAGTTTGTTCTACTCTGAAGTTGGTGAAATATTTATACAAATATATCTTCAAAGGACATGATCTTGTTAGTTTTAAGATTGTTACTGGAGGAAGCTCTGATAATGTCAATGAAATAAAAGAGTTCCAGTAGGAAAGATGGATTTCACCCCCTGAAGCATTTTGGCGAATCTATGAATTCCGATTAAATGAGATGACCCCAGCAGTTTATTCTCTTCAAGTTCATCTTCCTGGTCAGCAGCTTATCAATTTCAACAAAAATTCAAATCTTTTGGAATTGATGAGAAAGATTGATTTTTCAAAGACCATGCTAACCGAGTTCTTTGAAATGAACAAAGGAAACTCAAAAGCTGAAAATTTGAAATGCTTTTATAGAGACTTTCCTGAGCATTTTGTTTGGTCCACTAAATTTAAAATTTGGACTGGGAGAAAACGTAAAAAGGTTATTGGAAGACTCGTAACTGTTAGTCCTAAGGAAGGAGAAATGTATTATCTTAGACTGTTGCTAAATCATGTGCGAGCACCTACGTCATTTGATGACCTTTTAACTGTTAATGGTCAAAAAATGAATTGCTTCAAGGAAGCTGCTTTGAACCTTGGTCTATTACAGTCTGATACATATATAGAAGATACACTTGAGGAAGTAGCAATTTTTCAAATGCCATCATCATTGAGACTGTTATTTGCTACTGTTCTTGTTCATTGTTCACCCACTGATCCAAAATTACTCTGGGACAAATTTGAACAACAGTTATGTAGTGATTATCAAAGATCACAAGAACTTTATCACTATTCTTCTGCTGAAATCAGAAGTAAAGTTTTGAAAGATATTAGCAGATTGCTTGAACAGATGGGTAAAAATATTGATGATTACCATTTAGTTCCAGATACTTTTAGAAGTGCATATCATGAACAGTTAACAAAGGAAATTGACAGTGAAAGGAATATTGAAGTATTACCAGAAGATCTGCTTTTGCTTTTTAAATTGAATGCTCAGCAATGGCATGCTTACGATTTAATTCTGCATGCAATTTCTTCTTCTGTTGGCCAATGTTTCTTTATCGATGGTCCGGGTGGAACTGGTAAAACCTTTCTCTATAGGTCACTTTTAGCTACTTTAAGATCTCAAGGACATGTTGCTATTGCAGTCGCAACATCCGGTGTCGCAGCATCTGTTCTTCCAGGTGGAAGAACAGCCCATTCTAGATTTAAAATACCACTGTATTTATCAACAAATAAAACTTGCCAGCTCAGTAAGCAAGGTAGTATTGCAAGACTAGTTTTTGAATCAAAACTGATATTGTGGGATGAAGCATCAATGGCCAAAAAAGAAACTATTGAAGCCTTTGATCATTTGCTTAAAGACATAATAGAATCTGAGCTGCCATTTGGAGGAAAGGTGCTAGTTTTTGGAGGAGATTTTCGACAAACTTTACTTGTGATTGAGCGAGCTTCAAAACAAACTCTCATAGAAGCTAGCCTTCCTAATTCACCTCTATGGAATAAATTTCATATGTTGAAACTAATAGAAAATATGCGGGCCATTTTGGACCCAGTATTCTCAGAGTTTCTTTTAAGGGTGGGTGAAGGAAGAGAGCCTATTGATGCACAGGGCCAAATAACCTTACCGAATGACATGGTCATTCCATATTATGAAAAAGAAGAATCTCTAAACAGGTTATATAATTGTTATTCAGCTACACTTCTTTTTACTACTTTTTGTCTTTCTAAATTTGCCCTTTATATGTATCTTGATTTACTTTTCTTATATCCAGGTTGATAAAATTTGTATTTCCAAACTTATTGGCTTATTCAAATGATCCTTATAGTATGATCAATAGGTCCATTCTTACTCCAAAAAATAGTTCAGTTGATGAGCTAAATGATATCATGATAAAAAGGTTTCTCGGAAATCTTCATGTTTATGTTAGCTCTGATAAAACTGTTGATCAGCGTCATCAAGGAGATTATGAAGATTTTCTCAATTCACAAAATCCAAAAGGTCTTCCTCCTCACAAGTTGTTGCTTAAAGAAAATTGTCCCCTCATTCTTTTGAGAAATCTGAATCCTGTAGAAGGATTATGTAACGGAACACGTCTCATCTGTAGAGAGCTCAGGCAGCATACAATCTGTGCTGAAATAGCTTTTGGCCAGCACCAAGGGAAAAGAATCTTTTTGCCTAAAATTCCTCTTCAAACATCTGATAGTGAAAAGAACGGTCTCCCATTTATAAGAACACAATTTCCTGTTCAGCTTTGCTTTGCCTTAACAATTAACAAATCTCAAGGACAAACTCTTGATTATGTGGGCATTTACCTTCGTGAGCCGGTTTTCTCTCATGGACAGTTGTACGTAGCCTTATCTAGAGCTAAAACATCAGCTGCAGTTAAAATTCTCATTGTGCCTGGAACTTTTGGAGACATTAAAGTTGATTGCTAGACTAGAAATGTTGTATTCCAAGAAATATTTCAGCTAACTCAGCACTGATGTTATTACAGTTTAGGTATATCATACAGATTTGTCCATTCATTATTCTTTGACTAATATGGTACTTTATGGCCATAATAACTTTCTTCTTTTTAAAGAATGATTGTTGCTATATATATAAATCCTTCTGATATCTTTATTCCTTTGTATACATGAAAATGCAGAATGGAAAAGTTATTCACAATAAAAGAAATTATGCCTGAAATGCAAAGTTGGACATGCAAAATCACAGTTCAAGAAAAACAGCAAGTTACTCAATCAATGTCCACTCCAACAAAAAAGCAAAAGTTCATATTTATTGACGCTGAGGTACACAAATTGTTTCGTAGAAAATAATATTGCCTATTGTGCCATCGTTCTTGCAAAAGTATAAACCATGCACTGTGATATGTAATTAAATTCCTCTGTTCCATTATCAAAACGTTATATAAGGATGCTATTGTTTTCTGCATTCCAGTTGTCTGTCTTATTGATGCTATTTGGAAGGTTAGTTTGTGGTAACTTAAGTTGAAGGCATTATTTTCAACAATGACATCCCTAGAATGAGCTCAATCCTTCAAGTTTATAAGAAATACAACATATCCAATGCTGAAGTGAAGCCAATCTTACCAAAATATCAAACTGCTGAAATAACTCATCAGTGGACAATCATGAGCAAAACTGTTATTGAAGAGGTTCTTGATGATGAAGATATAATGCCTGTCAAGTTCAACTATACAAAGTTTACAAATTTGGCACAGTATATGGACGATAAGACTAAATCAGTTGGTATATCTCATTACTTGATCTATATAAATAGTATGCATATCTCTGCATGAAATATTCAACAAATTTTTCCTTTTTCTAGATGTCCTTGGAATAGTTATTGAAGCATTGGAGAAAAAGGCAATTACTACACACTACAGAGAGTCTATTGTTCAAAAGTTTGTGCTTGTGAATGAAAAGTAAGATGTCCAATTCTCATCTTATATATAACGATCAGTAGTTATAATTTCTCTTATTACATATATCTTATTAAATACTAATTATTTATTTCATAGTAGACTGCAAACTGTTGTACTTTCTATGTGGGATGATTTCATCAAAAATGAAGGAGAACAGATAATTTCTACCATGAACAACTATCCTGTTATTATTGCCCGAAGGATAAAAGTCAACAACTACAATGGTAACTTATAATTTAATGCCTAACCATCATCTGATACATTTATATCCATATATAAGTCTCTCTAACAAATGATCCTGAGTCAATAAGTTTTCTCTGTAGGTGTTTCTTTGTCCACATGGTTTGATTCTGCAATCCTCGTTGATCCTCCAATTCAAGAAGCAAGGGAACTAAAGAATTGGTTTTGATTTATCTCTTCCCTTTCATTATCATTCTTAGCAGTTCATGATTCATGCAATATAATTTATTCTTTACTTCTTTAACCTTATTTTATTATAGGGCAATAAGAAATAGCAAGGAGTTGACAGTTATTCTGGAACAGAAAACTTATACTAGATACAATCCAAAACTTTCATTGAAACCAGATCAAAAGACCACCTTAATTTGCAATGTTAATCCTACCCACAAGGTATAAACATCTTCACTGATAGTTTATTTTACGGTACATTTATTTATCAAACAACATATTCATAGTTTTTACTTCTGAATTTAGAGTACATGGGTCAAAGCACAGTTCAGTTTCCAGCACATATTTCAGAAATACTAGTATATGAGCTGCAAAAAATGTTATCGAGGTACTGCAGCAGCACATGAAGTCATTTTTAGCTGTAATACTTGTAAAGAAAGACATCCTGTTGAACCAAGGTTCATTACTAAAACCAATCTTTTTTTTCAAAAAAGCTTTAAAGTTTACTATCATCATCACTTTTTACACATGCTAAACTTTTATTTACAAACATTTTTGTAGGTGTCGCTTTGATGTGGATTTACGGGATCATACTGGAGTTATCACAGCTTCTATCTTTGGAGAACAAGCTGAACAACTGCTGACGTTCAATGCTCTTGAAATAATGGAACACTTTAAGCAGGTTCATGTTCAACTTATTATTCACTTATCCTAAATCACAAACTGAAACCATATTCTCTGTTTTCTGAAAGCTTTTTCTTAAATCCTTTCTAATTCACAGAACATTGAACTTCCACTTGAAATCATCCACAAAGAACTTGACTCAAAGTGGTTCTTGGTACACATTAAGCCAGTACAAACTCAAGTTGCAGATACAAAGCAGCGATATACAATTATTTATTATTCTGAAATTGCCGATGCTGCTACCCCAATTTCTTCTATCAATGAATCAATCATTCCCTTTCTATCAGTTCATAATCAGGATGGCCCTTCACAGATCACAACTTCAGGTATATAAATATACTTATCACAGATAAATAACCCTTTTTTCTTACTCCAAATTAATCTCATTCTTCTCAAGGCACTGTAACTACTGAAGAAGACAATCCAACTTCAAAGATTCGCGTTTCACTAAATCAAAAGTTTGATCAGGCTGAAGAACCAGAAAAGAATGCATCTCAACTTGAAGGAACTAGCTGCAGCAAGAAGCCAAAACTGAACTAAGTTCTCATGTTCTACAGTTTCTTTTGAAACTTAGGATTGCTACTTTGAAACTAAATTGTTGCTCTATGCTTTTTGTTCAACAATTTATGATTTTAAGAAATCATGGTATTGCTGTTGTGTTTTGTTTAGCAACTTATGATTCCCAAAAATCACAAAATGACTACTACTTAACTATGTTGTTCCTCGTTTCAGAATTACATTTCTTTAAATGTAGACATACTACTTACTTTGGAGCTTTATTTTTACCATCTGTTATATGCAATTGTGTGATTCTTTTACTGCCGTGAACTTGTGTAAAAAAATCACAGGAAAAAAGATGAAATAGCATAAGATAAGAACTTGAGGCGGGAAGGGTATTCCAATATAGCAACCTATATCTCTTGCTAAACTATATATAGAACCCAAATGATGGTCCTGATGCAATCCTGCCAGGCATTTTTATCACCAGAAAGCAGTTTTATGTGTGTCATTTGCTGATAGGCTTCCCAGTTTCCCTAACATGTATATCTTCCTTTAGTTTTGGAATCACAATGTACAATAAGGAAATGACAAAAAGTATCAAACGGAATTTGTTCACAAGTTGGTTCTTGGTATCCTGTGATCTATCATAATGGCTGGGTGTTACTTTTGTAGTTTTAGTTTGCTTTTTTTTTTTTTTTTTCTTGTTATGGAGTATTTTGGCTTCAAATAGTGGTGTTTTGCGGCACATTGACCAGGTGTATACCTTCTCCTATTTTGATAAGTTGTTATGCCAATGCCAATGCTTATTTAGAACATATGGCAATATTAACCCGATAGACCAACTTTTCTGATTGCAATTTCCTTGGTTGTAACTTTTTATGTTGTCTGTAATTAAATCACCGGGGACTTGTGTTGCCACGACTTCTTGCTCTTTCTCTGGCCTTACTGTTTTATTGTGCTCCTTAGTGTATTCTGCCTAAGTATCTCTTCTAGAAGTTAAGGGTACCTATTGCAAGCTCTGACTTACTGGATAATGTTTGATTCAGCAGTAGAATAAACTCTTTGAAGGGTAACTAGCTAAATAACAGTCGACAAGCAATGTCTGTAATAGTTCCATGGCCATGATGAAGCTGTTTGAAGCTTTTTTTTGAGCCATTTATGATTTCAAGAAATCATAGTATGCTGCTGTCTTTTCTTCAACAACTTTACGTGGACTAGGAGTCGTTTAAAAGGGGTTTCTTATAACTTTTCCTAAAAAATTCATTTTTAGGTGACTTGGTACACCTTAACTCATTACCAAGTGGCGACTCCCATTTTTTCAAAAACCCTTTTTAAACTATAATTTTGGGTCAAATCGTCGCATTTTGAAACCCCCATTTAGACCCATTTTTCTTTTAAATCACGATTCATTTTCCAATCACAAAATACATTTTTTAAACCATTTATTTATTTATCAAAAAATGGGGCGCGACAACTGCTGGAGAAAGGAGAAGAAGTGCTTATGCTGTGGGAATGCGGAGCACTAGATAGCCAGTTGTCCAGTCAACCCTGAGAGGCGAGAGGGACCACACAATCTTCTAAGGCGACTTCAGCGCAATCAAAGGTGGAAGTGACGAAACTGAAGGTGCCTACCCGAGTGTACTCTATCGAGCAACGTCATGTCCCTGATTCGGCGGAGGTGGTGGAAGGTACGATTCCTGTCTTCCACCGTCTAGTTAGGATTTTAATAGACCCGGGTGCCACCCATTCCTTTGTTAACCCCGAATTCATGTGTGGTATTGATATAACCCCTGTAAACCTGCCCTATGAATTAGAAGTGAGTACGCCTATGGGAGACCAGTGTTTGGTTACTAGCAAAATATATGTAAATTGTGAAATCTAGGTAGGAGAGAGGAAGTTACTGGGGAATTTGATAAGTTTGGCTATTAAGGGGTACGATGTGATATTGGGCATGGATTGGTTAGTTTGGTATGATGCCCAACTTGACTATAAAAGGAAAGTAGTGAAATTTCGTATACCGGGGAGGCTACCTTAAGATTAGATGTGAGGGGCAGTTTAGCCTCGTCTGCGATGATTTTGGGTATTCAGGCTAGGAAACTATTGAGTAGAGGGGCTCAAGGGTTCTTAGCCTTTCTCATCAACACTCCCACTGATAAGTTAAACGTAGAAGATGTTCCAGTAGTGGGCGAATATTCGGACGTGTTTCCCGATGAGCTAGTGAATCTACCACCGCAAAGAGAGATAGAATTTGAGATTAACTTGTTGCCAGGGACTTCACCTATCTCTAAGACCCCATACTGTATGGCACCTGCAGAACTTAAGGAGCTGAAGCTGCAGTTACAAGACCTTTTGGAGCAGGGTTTTATTCGTGAGAGTGGATCCCCTTGGGGAGCATGTGAGGACCTAGTCCGTTCGTACGTTGAGATTAGGGTTATTCATTATTTTGTACGGTTAAATTAAGGTTTTAGGGCTAAGGAGAAACCCTAATCTCGGCCAAGATTGAAAACCCTAACTTTGCTTACGATAAAACCCTAGTTTATGCGGTATTCTAGTGTGTGTTTTGGCACAAGAAGAAATAGGATTCGTTATAGTTTACAGAGGTTTAACAAGTTTGAAAATGGTTGGCAAACTCTGGATTAGCAAACCTCTAGTGTTACAATGTTAGAAAGCTTAAGTGGAGTTTTATTTATCGCCCGTCTTTTCCACATTTTTTTTATTAGAAAAATTCTCCAGGATAATTTTCATGAGTAAATATGGGTTTTAGATGATTTTTCTAGTATTGGTTAGATTTTGAGAAATTAAGAACGTATATCGGACGTGGGACCCACTAGTGCGAAAAGTTCGGAAAAATTCGGCCAATTAGGTTAAATTCCGGATACTGTGTAAAATTTATCGGGTGTTAAGAGATAAGTAGAGAGTGAGATATGATTGATGTGAGAGAGAAAAGAAAGGATAGGAATGCATTAATGGTGGTGACAAGTGTCACCATTTCATTGGAGAAGACTTAAGAATTACTATTCACTTTCTTGACTTTTTTTGACCAAAAGATTAAATATCAAAAATTGCACAAAATTCACCATTTTGCACCCTTGATGGCCGGCCCTCTCCAAGCAAGAAGAAAGACAAAACTCTTCAACATTCTAGCAAACTCCTAGCTCAAATCAACTAAACCACTTGTTTAACTTAGTTTTCACTCCATAAAATTCTTCCTTCTAGAGCTAGTAAGTTGTTTGGTGAACTTTGTTTGAAGGATTAAGGTGCCCAACATCTTCCTCTCTCTTGGTTCTTGGTAAGTGAAGCTTGAAACACCCTACTACACTTAATGAAGCTTAAGTTATGCTTATTAGTGATTAGAGTGCTGAAATTTCTGGTTTTAATCTTGGTTTGAAGTATTTGGTGAAGTTTTCCATTTTATGATGATTTTTCTGGTTTAATTGGATTATGATGGTGTGGTTGTTTGTGATGATTGGCAATGGACTATAATGACTCTTGTAGGTGTGAATTGTTGCTAAATGCAACTAATTTTGGATTTGGATGGAAAATGGAAAGTTAGGGTTCTTAAATCCCCAATTCTGTCCGGTTTTGGATCATAGGGTTAGAGGCCGAATTTGACTTTGCTCAAAACATGAAAGTTGTAGGTTTTGATGTGTTTGAGGGCCTGTAAAATTTCAGGTCATTTGGATTAGTGTAGAGTGAGATATGACGAAATTACTGTAGCTGTTCTGCTTTGATCAGAATGCGAAAACTGCGATAGTAATTGGCCATTTTGACTGGAATTGATTTGGATTTTGGAGTTGGTTTCTTCTGATGAAATGTAGCTGGATGTCTTAGGTAACTTATGCCTTTGGAATTTCGGCATTTGGACTTGTATGGACTGAGATATACCGATTACAGTTTTCTGCGTTTTGCAAACCTGTTTTGGTAATTCTGGATTTGTATTTTGCATATTTGACCTAGTTGTGCTAGGATTTGGACTGAGTGGCCTTCTACATTGTTGTAGCCCTGTTTCTTAGCTTCGAAACGGTGGGTCTTACACCCCCATCCGATAACCGTAGTGAATTTGGTGCCATTACCGCATATTGAGGTCAAATACGGTTTGTGATTCTAGTACGTTTTTGGAAAGTTTATGGCTGGAACTTTGGCTTCACATTTGACTGAGTTACAAGCTGTTTGGGCTTCCGACCAAAACACCAAACTTATAGCCCTATATCAGAGCTTTCTAACGCCCTTGGAATTTCATGAATCGGATTTATAAAACCTGAGATATAGCCGAGCAAACAAGGCCTGCCCGTGAAAATGACCAGAAATCTGTTTTGGTCCTGATGACCAATTTCCGTTCCGAATTTGGATTGCCAACCTTCATGAAAGTTGTTCCATTTGGAATGAACTATCTAACTGCCAATTTTCAGCTCTTTTGACCATGTGTAGCATAGAAAACAGTTTGCGCTCAAAACTGACCATTTGTGCATTGGCCAGATTTCGTAAGTGATTGTGTTTGGTTCATTTGGGACTAAAGCCTCCAGTTTCAGTTCTGGATGTCTTCATAACAGTTGTTGTTCATCCTTTAAGCTTCGATATGGCGTCTCATACGCCTTAATCCGATGTTCGTAGCTCAACTTATGAGTAAACTAGAAACGAGTGTCAAATCTGCCGTTTCCGCTAACGGCCGTCTCCGTTTCCGTTCGTCATATTTACGTGCGCGCGTGCCGTTTTTGCCGTTTTGCTTGTTTTAGGCACGATAATAGTCGTTTGCGATATTATGTGACACAATCTTCTATTTCAGACGGTGGTGAGCTGGGCGGAACTGGTGGGGCCCACTACTAGCTGTTCATTTCGATCCGACTTCGTACTTTTGCTATTTCAGTTTCTGTGTAAGTATTCAGGCCAGTTTGGTGTGTTTTCTTTGCTATGTGTTTGAGATATGTGAAAAGGGCACTTAGGCGAGGGTGTACTTTATCGCACTCGACCTAAACCCTAATTTGAATGTATAATTGTACTTGGCATATGTATATGAACCTTTTGGAACCAAAACCCTTGAG